ATTCTAAATGACAGTATCCACTGACAGCCGCACACTCTCCTCAAAACATTGTGTTCATCCGCGCTGTGCCGTGCCGAGGCACAACCCACATTAAAGTTGATAATTCCGCGAATAACTGCAATTGCAGATTTCGAACAGAGATGGCGACAAAGAGGAAAAACTACGGACTGCAGCTTTAAATGAATAATAATAAATCTGGTTTTATTTACTTTTTTGCCTCAAAAGCAAGCCAAGACAACTCCCTTTGCAATCACTAAAACGCTGACGCTTTGTCAGTTCATTGTGATCTCACAAAGTTCCATTATAATCAATGAAGCTGCAAACAATGCACAATAAATCTCTTTCTTACATTGTGTCTACACTTTGTATGCTAATGAGAGGTTTCGCGAGCCTGCATAATTCAGCACTGAATAAAAAACTCTGGTGTTTTGAGTGGTGAGTGGATTCGGACTAACTCAAACACCTCCGATTAGCCATTGTGTTCCAGAGATAAACAACTACGTATGTCTGTGATTGCTCACTGCTGCAAAAATAGATACATTTGATGCTCTCCAGAGTGCAAACACAAATATGCACTGGAGCATGTGTCAAATCTGTTTATTATTTAGTATTGCAGTATCAACTGAGGGTGCTCTTGCTTGTGTTTAAGGCCTGCAAATCCCTGGCAGAAAACTGATTCCTCGTTCTATTTATGACGTATTTCAAGCACTCACGATACTTCTCATAGGAAGGACAAATGGATTTGTAATTGTCACTTTGTCGCGTCCAGGCACGGCACGACGCGACGGGTCAACTGTCGCGTCCTGTGTAGTAACAGTGTAAGGGTTTAGTGTCAATCTAAGTTTTGTTTTCATGCACCGGTCAATTGTGAGATTTTGGGCTGTGTTGGGCTCTTTTCACATGTTATTGTTAGTGAAAAGAAAACATGCACAATTTACTTTTAAGTGTTTATTTTATTGCACTTTTTTTTGCGTCTTTAGATTTCAATTACAATTTCTTTAAAGGCTGTTTTCTCCAAATCTTTTTTCATATGCACTGAACCAGAAATCTGTAGCACTTCCATACGCCATACTTTTACAGTTTTATATATTCTATCTAAAGCATTTTACAGAGGGGGTTGTTTATATATAATTTGCCTGATTTTACAGTCTTAAAAAAATGCTGGGTTGTTTCATGTTTGGGTCAAATTTGGACAAACCCAAACATTGGTTTAATGGTTTCAATGGTTTAATATAACCAAACAGTTGGGTTTGGCAGTTAAAAGTATTTTCTGTATTTATGTAATGATAAAAAGATATCAAAGATTTCTTCTGTAAAAACCTAATATGAAACCTAATAAAATTCGAATATGTCAACAAAACGAAACAAGAATTTTAAACCTGGCTTTACCCAATGTTCAAATTTTTGTTCTGGAAATATATGCCAATTAGTGCATATTTAATTAGATAATGCTTTGCATATTTAAACAACATTTCAGAAAACTTTCAAAAAAATAATAAATTTGTGCAATTCTTAATGTTATCAACCAAAGGGGAATCTATTTTTAATTAATTTAGTTTTTTTTTTTTACCCTATTCACCTGGGGTGTCTTGTGTTATATTAAAATATTATATTGAATTTTTACAGAAAAAAAAAAACGATAATATTTTTGGCAGTACAGGGAAAAGCAACATCGCAATGGACATTAAAATCTGACAAAACTCTGTTGTTTTTAATATGTTGTGATCTCGTAAACATGGTCTGAAGTGTCAATCTTAGTTCCTTATATTAAAATATTATATTTAATTTTTTTACAGAAAAACAACAACATGATAATATGTTTGGCAGTACAGGGAAAAGAAACATTGCGATGGCCATTCAAATCTGACAAAACTCTGTTGTTTTTAATATGTTGTGATCTTGTAAACATGGTCTGAAGTGTCATAATCTTAGTTTCCAGTTGGCAAAACATTCACTAAGTAAGTGATGTAGGTGACAGTCATACAGACTAACCGACTGAATGAAGAATGTGCGTGTGCATTCACAATGAGACTCACCGCTAAATAAATAAACACAATGTACTGTCTGACAAAAGAAACCGAATGCTAATAGTCTAGCGTGTGTGTGTGCATGTGTTATAGACAGATGACAGGAGTTTATGCCTGTCTGCTCTAATACCTAGCGGCACATCCTCCATCTTAAGAAATGCGACATTCCTCTGAAAATTGTTGCAGCTCCTCCGCAGCATGTCATCCTCACGTCAGCTCTCCCAATCAGCTGTCATGCTGTGAATTGGAGGTTTTAAGTTACAGATCACTTCTGAATCCTAGCACACGCGTGACGTGCATCCCTATGCCCCTACACTGCCTCTGCCAAGGAGCGTCAAACAAACACACAAACATCTGAGCCGTCCCCGCCTCCTCCTCCTCAGAGAACCAGGGGAAGACGGCGAACAGGAGAGACAGAAAGCCCTTTAGGAAATGCTTTTATTCTATTGACGCTAGGAACAATACTGTAGGAAGCCGAGCGGAGTGCTTGTCAGCAGATCCTAATCAATCATGAGATGAGTAAAATAACAGAAAACACAGTGTGTCCACAAAAGAACAGGTAAAGCTGAACAAAACAAATCAGCCACATCTCCGGGTACATCGCATACAACGCTCTCTGAGGGAAGAGTGTGATTAAACCTCTGAGGAATTACAAAATAAAACGGTCTTTAAAATGAAGAAACAAATAGCAAACTGCGGGACTTGTTTGCTGGACTTGTTTGGGGGGAATTGGCACTTTCATTGTTTTATAACAATAAAAAAAAGAGAAAAAACGGTCACATTTGAAGACATAAAACAGTGTTCTCGGACACGCGGCCACGATTGGCTTATTGCTTTCATAAAATAACTGCAGTTAGAAACAAATTAAACCAATGTTCAATAAATAGTTACATTTATAAATAACAACAAACAATTCTTCTGCCAAGTCATTAGAACGACCACAGGGACCACTTATAGTTGCCAAGAAAAACAGAATAAAAACATTAATATAGGCTGTCTCAATCCATCTCTAGTAGTATGTGTTTGTCAGTCATTTTTAGTTCTATCGTTAAAATAGTTTAAAGCACTGAAACACCTCCTAGAAATTCCCAGAATGCATCGTAAAACAACAGTGAGCATCAAATGATGATCAAAATCCATTCCATCACAGAATCCTATCTGCCTTCCTCAATGCCAGATCAAACACAGTCAGCACTATGCTAAGCTATTAGCAACACACGAATGCTACTGAAAACACACACACAAAGGAATCCTTTCAGGAATATGTGATGTTATATTTAATTCAAAATACATGAACATGTTTTCATGTATAACAACAATTAAACGGTAGCTGTTAATAATTGATTAAAAGTTGTCTCAGCCAATGAAATGGCTTTGATCAGGAAGGGTCATATGACTCTGCAGGGGACAGAATCTTGCTTGACAACAAAACGGGTGAAAACCAAGTTAGAAATTTGAAATCTAATTAGTGTTAACAGCATCAAACATTTAAATGAATGGTACTTTTACAATTAATGTAACAACCACAATATATTGAACAGATAAAAAAGGGGAAAAAAACGATGAACTAAAGGTTTTAAATTTAAAATAAAAAAATGTTGCACCAATATGTACGCACAATATTAATGTGATAATTGTCTACACCAGTGCAGTATCCATGATCAGACTATAGCGGTACAGGTCATTTTGTGCCGCCCCACAACTTCACACAGTTGTTCCCTTCAAATTAAAGGTAATGTCTCGTGATAAGATCACGTGATACGATGCTTGGTCATCATTGCACGTGATAAGATGCCTGTGTAATTCTGGGGCCGAGCTTATGGAATGAGCTGCCTCTATCTATCTTCTAGATGATCTAAATTTTTTACCAGCATTTCAGAACTTGCTGAAAGCTCATTTAGCATTGGCAGCTTATAACAGGTAATCTCTATGTGGTGTATGTGGTGTCTGTGATGTTTGATTTGTTAATATGCATGTTTTATATTTTTTCCTTTTACGTAAAGCACTTTGGTCAACCTCGGTTGTTTTTAAAAGTGCCATATAAATAGACAAGACAAGCTTTCAATGTGTTCATTTATCAGGGGTGCAACCTTTTTATTAGGGTGACAATCCATTATTTAAGGCCAAATTTATTGATTTATAACATGACTGTAATCATTGTGTCGCATGGCAAGCCTAATACTTATATATTAGTGTGCCAAGTTTATAGAATGAGCTTTGACCCTTATGTAGCTTGCAAACCAGCCTACGGCTGATCTAAATGATTATTCTAAATAAATGTAACAGTCTTGTATAATGCTGCTATTTCTGTCATTTTATAAAAGCTTTCACTTTGTGCAGCAACATCTCATAATTATGGTTAAATCACTGTAAAGCAAAAGGATTTTGGCTTTATTATTAAATAATATTATTTAAATAGAGTCTAAAACTGACATTTGGTGAAGATCAATTATTAAAGAGGCCGTTTTTTTCTTTTTTCAATTTTCAAACTACTTGTGTAATGCTGCTGTTTAAGCATGGACAAAAGTCTGCAAAGCTACAAAGCACAAAGTCCACTTCAAAGAACATTTTTTGAACATTCAAGCATGAAAACCTTTACTAATAGTCCGCAAAAACAAAATCAAGACTTTGAAAAAGGGCATAATATGGATTCTTTAATAGATCCGCTTCTGCTACAAAAGCTAAAAAGAAAAATCAAAGCTACGCCAGCCATGCATGATGCACAGTGCACTTCAGCAAGAGACCAATCCTGGAGCAGAAAGCCAGCTCTGTTCATGATATGGGCAGAAGACATTTTCTAAATTGCCTTGAAGGAAGACCTTGTATTTTGGTACTACACTACAAAAAGAAGAAAAGGCATCAAATCTAGAAAGCATCTTTTATAGGCACTCCTGTTCTCCAGTGTCATTTTCTAAATGCTGCGGGTCAGCCGGCTTTATTGTCGACCTCAAAAAGAGCGTTGAGAGGGTCTACCTGTGGCAGGGTCCACATCACGCTCGATCAAGTGCTGATCCTGGTGAACCCATTCCCCGTTGCACTTGAAGTAGATCTGAGTGGCAGGGGTCGAGCGGCAGGTGAGGGTCACGGGCTTGTTCTTCACGATATAAACATCATCAGGCTCCACCAGGAAGTGTGGCAGCAGGTCGGAGAAGGCCGCAGGAAGTGGATGCGTTACAGTGACCGCATGCTCTCCGCCTGTGAAAGCAAGCCAGAGAGAACTTTAGAGACAGGTTGCGCTTGTTCAGATGCCTAAAACCTTTTAGTAGTGCAAAGAGATAATGAGTGTATCTGATTTAATTTCACACTCCGAACCCCGTGAGCGGACAGATTGCTTTTGACACGCACCTGAGCGCAATGCTAATCCTGTGCATCCGTATTTAGTAGAATACAGAAATTCTGCCAACCACAGCTGACAAAACATCTCCGCTACAGCAGGTCTGAGAAATAATGCTAATGACGTGGTCTTAAAAGAGCTAGCTTTTTCTTGAGTGGCATTGGTTTGTATTTCAAGACAAAGTAGTTTTGAATGGACGGCTCATGTGGGCGGGCTGTGATGTCATGACACGGTGAAGAATTGACTCATGAATATTAATAGTTGCACTGACTGGCTAGGTTTGATAAATGTCGTAAGCAACTTGCATCACAAAGCAGAACTGATCTGAAATTTTATTTAAATGATTTAACATCAAATTATGTGGAACAAATGCAACAAAGAAAACAACATTGTCAATATCAAACTTACTGTTATTAAATATACATAATGCAAGCACAATATTGTCCATTTGCACAGTGATTTGTGAGTTCCTTTGAGATTTCATTTCAATGCATTGCTTCTGTTTGCTTCAATTTGACTCGAGCAAAAACACACTGCAGAAAATAGTATCAATAAAATTCATCATGTTAAAGATTACATTTAATCACAAATGACTTACACCTGGAGTCCCCAAATACTTGTGTAACTTTTTTCGAATGACATATGATTATAGTTAAATAGTTAGTTAAATAGATACAATCAATTCTCACAAGATTAAAAAGAGTTAAATTAATCAGGCTTTTTTAGAAATTAAAAATGCCTTGGAGTGAATTTTTTTTAACGTTTTTATGTAAAAAAAAAAAAAAACCTGAACATGGTCTTATTCTATTATACTACAAATAAATATATTAACAGCTAAATATACTCAGTAGATAAAATGAACAGAAAAATTAGGATTTAAAATGAAATCTAACAGATGACAGTAACATTGCTGCTTGCTTCAGTTTGACAGAAAAAAACGTTGAATATTATTATTGAATATTATCAATAATATTCTCAGCATGTAAAAATGTATTAATTTCAATTCTTCAAAATTAAAACATTTTATGGAGGACATATGATGAAATACTTCACAATCAATCATTACACGATAAAAAAAAAAATCTACTTTTGTTTTGAGAAAATAAAATGGTATTGCAGTCTTATAACAGATTTAAATGATCAGATTTAGATTTATTCCATTTCAACAAGTTCAATTTTCAGTTGTTATGGGCTAAAAAAAGAGGTTCAAGAGCCCCTAAATAGAGTCTTACTTTCTCTTAAAAGAGACATATGCTATATTCCACCCCACACAGAAAAACAATGTGTTAGTGTGTAAGAGAGTGAGCCCCCTTGTTAAGAGGCCGAGTAAAAAGCTTCTGAGTAGTATGGCCTTGTCAGGGTTTGCCTACAGCGCTGCTGAATCCTGTCTCTACTCTCTCTGCTGTTAATCACAGCCTTTTAAGATCAGAGCTGATGGACTGCAGGCCATAAATCCCTCTTGCTGAATGACCACGGCACTTCAAAACATGCTCGGCGGGCCCTGTATCCAGGGCTTTAACTCAAATCTTTATTACGCACAGACTGAATGCAGCGACGTGAGTGCCAGCCATTCACCGACTGACGGCCGCCATTGCAAATAGGCCGCATTAAACGTGATACGAACTGGCTCTTTATCCGACGGCCCTCCATAGTGCGACAAGATCAGGTGAGGAGCGCGTCCTGCTGTTTACGGATCAAAGATCTGCCTGCCTGACTTTGTGGGTGGAAATGTTTCTCCCCCGTGCGGATTTATGGAAGCAGCGCAGAGGCGGTTGGATTCGTAAAATGTGTGGAGATATTCAATGAGAAATCATCATTAAATCAGAGATTGACCCTGCGACGTGCGGGAGAATGATTCTTTTGCGCGGTGCGGAAACGGGAGCGCTACCCTATCAGTAATTTTGTTGATTCATTTGTTAGCTGCAATGTTTTTCTGGTCTTTGTAATTAAGAATGAATTGCTAATTTATCCTTTTCCGCCCACAATCCATAGCAATCAAGCAGCCTCGGCTCGTGGGTTTATTCCCTCTTCATACTGGTGGTCCCACACCATTGTGCATCATACACAAACACACAAAACTACATTTTTGATAGCCTTCAGGACTGAACTCAATTTTTAAAGTGATCACTTTTAATAATTAGTTATTCCCTCAGCATGTTTCTCTTTACAGTGTTTTGTTCTGTTTGACTGTTTGTAGGCCCCATGGAAATGCTTGTTGAGTGCAAATAAATTGCTTGCATATAGATTCGATTCAAAACAAATACACAAAATCAACAAAACTCCAATTTTGATTTCATGAGGTAAGGGAGAAAAAAAAAAGAAAAGAAAACTAACAACCTTAGAATGCTTGCCCAGGAGCATATCAGCAGTAAAACACCATCCTTTTTGGAAAAGGGCTAGATCAGGGTGCGAATGACATTTAATTATGTTAGATTGCAAGTTAAGAGTGTGTATTTTAACCTACCGCCACAAACAGAGGTTGCATCCGGCTGAGGTGGTAACTATAGCAATGACAGACTGCTTAAACGCTTGCGGTGAGGATTAGTATGGAGCGGTGCATCAAGGTAGCACAATGTTATAGATTTACATTTCACAGGCAGGTTTTGTTTTAGCCTTTAGGAGAGCTAATGTTTGACTTAACTGTAGGATGCCAAAATTGTGTTGAGGGAGATGGTATTGTTTTAAGGGCATGCCCCCGAACCCCCCTAGCAAACTCAATTTTGGGAGCTTTGTATAAAACCCTGCACACACACAAACATTTTTTTTTTTTTAAATCACCAACAGCATCTTTAGCATCTTTCGTTCATCTTCGGAAAACAAATTAAGATATTTTTATTTCTGTCCCTCCATTGACATCTACGCAACTACCACTTTGACGCTTCAAAACGTTCGTTAAGAGACGTTCGTTAAGAGATCGTAATACTAATCCATATGAATTCTGAGGAGACTCGATCGCTTTATATGATGAACAGATTGAATTTAGGCTTTTATTCACATTTAAACATTGATCAGCGAACATAAACAGAAGCTCAACTGAACCTACTAGATGGGTAAGAACAAATCTCTAGTGGAAGCTCAAAGTGCTGCGTAACAAGAGAACGAACCTCATTGGTTCTTGTCGAAGGTCAAATGTGCTGCGTAACAGGAGAACGAACCTCATTGGTTCTTGTCGAAGGTCAAATGTGCTGCGTAACAAGAGAACGAACCTCATTGGTTCTTGTCAAAGGTCAAATCTGCTGCGTAACACGAGAACGAACCTCATTGGTTCTTGTCGAAGGTCAAATCTGCTGCGTAACACGAGAACGAACCTCATTGGTTCTTGTCAAAGGTCAAATCTGCTGCGTAACATGAGAACGAACCTCATTGGTTCTTGTCGAAGGTCAAATGTGCTGCGTAACATGAGAACGAACCTCATTGGTTCTTGTCGAAGGTCAAATCTGCTGCGTAACACGAGAACGAACCTCATTGGTTCTTGTCAAAGGTCAAATCTGCTGCGTAACACGAGAACGGACCTCATTGGTTCTTGTCAAAGGTCAAATCTGCTGCGTAACACGAGAACGAACCTCATTGGTTCTTGTCAAAGGTCAAATGTGCTGCGTAACATAAGAATGAACCTCATTGGTTCTTGTCAAAGGTCAAATCTGCTGTGTAACACGAGAATGAACCTCATTGGTTCTTGTTAAAGGTCAAATCTGCTGCGTAACATGAGAACGAACCTCATTGGTTCTTGTCAAAGGTCAAATCTGCTGCGTAACATGAGAACGAACCTCAGTGGTTCTTGTCGAAGGTCAAATCTGCTGCGTAACACGAGAATGAACCTCATTGGTTCTTGTTAAAGGTCAAATCTGCTGCGTAACACGAGAACGAACCTCATTGGTTCTTGTCAAAGGTCAAATCTGCTGCGTAACATGAGAACGAACCTCATTGGTTCTTGTCAAAGGTCAAATCTGCTGCGTAACATGAGAACGAACCTCATTGGTTCTTGTCAAAGGTCAAATCTGCTGCGTAACATGAGAACGAACCTCATTGGTTCTTGTCGAAGGTCAAATCTGCTGCGTAACACGAGAAAGAACCTCATTGGTTCTTGTCAAAGGTCAAATCTGCTGCGTAACATGAGAACGAACCTCATTGGTTCTTGTCAAAGGTCAAATCTGCTGCGTAACACGAGAACGAACCTCATTGGTTCTTGTCGAAGGTCAAATCTGCTGCGTAATACGAGAATGAACCTCATTGGTTCTCGCATGTCAAGCAAAAATGCTTGAGCTTCCGTTTACCACAACTGATGTGCGAGTTAATGAATGTTTATATGTGAATAAAAGCCTAAATTCAATCTGTTCATTATAAAAAAGTGATCGTGTCTCTTCAGAATTTTTTGGACTAAACCATTCAATTCATATGGGTTAGTTTTACAATTTCTTTATGAACTTCGTAAAGCGTCAAAGTGTAGCTGTCAACAGAGGGACAGAAAGCTCTCAGATTTAATCAAAAATATCTTCATTTGTGATTTGAAGATGAACGAAAGTCTTAGGGGTTTGGAATGACATGAGGGTGAGTAAATGATGAAATAATTTATTGTTGAGTGAACTATCCCTTTAAGCAACCATAAACCTCGTAGAAAGGAGGTCACAAGGACATATTGAGATAATTAAGCACATTTTTGTGGACTGTTTATATTTACAAAATAATTATCAATAGCTGGAAGACTGCTGTTTATGACATTTTCTATAACAACGGGCCTGTGGCACTAAGAGCAGAAAGCACATCTCTACTAATGAAACACCAAGACTAAAGCCGACCTTTCCGGCACTTTCCTCATCTCCCCTGCTGAAAACCACAACCCGGGTCACGCAGGTAGCATTAG